TTGCCTGCTTATCCTAAAGATGGGAATCAGGACTTACGTAGTTCCCGAGGTTAAGGTGCACTTGGGTATTAACTCTCTCATTTTACGCTCTAACTTTTGCCAAAGTCGCCCTTCTGGGTTTTCGACCTTGCAAGCGCTCCTTTTATTTTTCTATTCATTTTTCTTTTTTTTCTTTTTTTTTTCTTTTTTCATTCATTTTTTTTTCTTGCTCTAACTTTTGTTAAGGTCACCCTTCTGAGTTCTCAGCCCAGCAGGCTTTTCAAGGATAGAAAATTTTAACTTGCCTATGTTGCTTGGTTGTGAGATCTCTAAGCAATCTAAATCCACGAGAACGGCTACTGTTCCTGACCAAATAGTCTTGATGATGTAAGGGCCCATCCAATTGGGTCTGAATTTGCCCCTAGTGTCGTGGATATGAACTTGATTGTCCTTCAGCAATAAATTTTCTTCTCTCAAATTATAGGATTTGACTTTCTTGCCCGCCTCTATTGGCTTGAGAAATGACCCATCTTTGAATCTTCTAGCACATCTGACCCTTTTTACCCCTAGTTCAAGGGCTGCTTCTCATCCAACTATGCAATCTTCCTTCAATTACATCCGACTTTATTTCCTCTAGTTTAAGAGCTGCTTCCAATCCGACCATGCAAGCCTCATATTTTAGTTGATTGTTGAATATCCTGAATCAAGGTTTGAAAGCTAAGGGGTTGAGTCTCAAGGTCGAGAGTGATCATATGTTGTACAATCTCAAGATCAATTCCAAGCATGTCTTCGTAGGACCATGCAAAAACATTTTTTAAATCTATTAATAAAACGACTAGTTACTTGAGCTCCTCTAAAGACAATGCAGAACCAATCTAGACCAAGCTATGATCCTTCTAAGTACCCACATGCACATACATGATCTCATTCATTGAAGACTCTAGCACACCTATTTTCCTTTCAATCAATCAAATTTTACAAATCCCGAGGAATTTCTTCCTCTTTGTTTTGGAAAATAGTTTTGAAAACAATTTTGAAAAACTTTACTCAATGCAATGATTTAAAGGCACAGAGAAGTAGGTGAAAAGTACTGCAGTTTCATTCAGAACTTCTGGCTCAATGATTGAAACAGACTCAAAAGAAAGAGTGAAAAGACAAACACAAACAAGACAGTGATGTCCGAGATAACACCCCCAAAATCACCAAACTCTGACGCAACAAGACTAACTCAATATCCAATTCAGAAAGAAACATAAAAAACATTCTCAAATTGCTAAAATTAGTGCGTGCCATCCACCATGGCTAGAGTGAAATACATGTCATTAACAGGTGGTTCATCCCCGATCACAGAACTAGTCTAATTATTTCCCAAGTTCATTGATCCAGCACTGATAGACTTTCAAGGACCTGGTGGGTTGATGACCTTGTTGTCAATCAGGTCTTGTACTTCATGGTGAAAAAGAAAACAATGGTCAGTGTCATGGACGAGTTGCTGATGGAAGGCGCAATACTTGGCAGCATCATGCCTAGCTGGAAGGCGATCAGGGAGAGGCCGAGGGTCAAGGGGTTTGAGATGGCCTTGTCCTAGGGGATTGAAGGTACGGCTACCAGTTCTTGAAGTATTGACAGAGGCGTCAGCAGGCATCGACTGGGTTTGAAGATCTCTTACAAGTGTAAGATTGGAGCTGAAAGGGTTGTTTCTAGTAAGGCATCTCTTTCCACGGCTTACCCTCTGATTCAAAATGCCTCCAACCTAAGTGAAAAAAAGTGTAATCCACAGTCTTTCTAACAATTGCAAGCACTTGCTGTTTGTTCAACCCTTTGACCTTCAAAGTCTCAACAGTCCACCAAAGATGTGCATAAGGATCAATATTTGCCCCAGCCTTGTTCTTGCCACTTGCTTCAGGTTTGCCAAGGGATTGGATAGCTATATCGAAGCAAGGCCCATTCATTGTTGACATGTTATCACCCAGACTTGAGATAGCTTTAGGTTACACTTACACCTTTTGTAAAAAATTAAACCTTACACTTACACCTTTTTTGAGGTTGCACACCATGTGCAACCCACTTACACCTTACACCTTACATTTACACCTTATACTTACACCTTAACCTTACATTTACACCTTACACTTACACCTTTTGTAAAAAATTAAACCTTACACTTACACCTTTTTTGAGGTTGCACACCATGTGCAACCCACTTACACCTTACACCTTACACTTACACCTTATACTTATACTTACACCTTACACTTACACTTTTTGTGTAAATGGCACATGGTGTGCACTTGCACACTTAAGAAAACTCCATTTTGTATACATATGTACATCTTAAAAAATTAACAAATGTCTCAAAATTGTTAATATTAATCTCTAATTTCGATGAAATAACTAAATTAAAAACAAAAAATAATTAAATTGTTCAAATTAAAATTATAAAATATAAAGTAAAATTTGGATCATAGTGAAAAGCATAATTAAAGTCTTGTTTGAGAACTACTTAAATAAGTACACTTGTTTGCTTATAAACACGACTTATTTTTTTATTTTATTTTTGAATTTTCATTAATTACTGAAATACCTATAAAAAAAAGGGTAGAAAAATGATATGATTAATCCAATAAGCCAATAAACTGTGTTTTTTTTTTTTAATTTTTTAATTTAATTTAATTTATTTATTTATTTATTTTTTTTTATCCAAAACAAATATAAATAAGCAAACCCACGCTAACCCCACCAATTCCTCATTCTCGATCTGGACTGAAACTTTCCTTCCAAAAACCCTCTCTCCCTCTCCTCGTTCAATAGCGCCTGTAGTATAAAACGATCGTCACTTGACGCTCTCTGTGGTGTACTGATCTGCGAAGGTGTGCTCTCACATCTAGATTCTAGGGTTTGGTTTAAAAATTAGTTTTTTTTTTTTTGGTTATTTGAAGATATTGTGCGGTGTTTAATCATATGTTCATGTATTTTTTCAATCATAAGTCTGTTTGTGTGGGCGCTAGCAAGCATATCTGTCAGAGAGAGATTCAATGTAGTAAAAAGGAAAAGGTCGACACTCCTTTTTTTTCTTGATTCCTACCACCTCAATGTATTGGGATTGCACCAAGTATTCTTTAGAGTGTTTTTTTATTGTATGGTTGAGATTTAATACTGAAAAATTGATGTGACTTATCATTAAATTTCAACCACACAATGCACCACTCTAAAAAATTTTAAGAAAAAAAAACTCTAGAAGATCCTTGTTCTTGGGATTGACTAACTTTTTGTTTTTTATTTTTTTTTTCTCCTATCACTCAATGATATGTGTATGTGAGATTGTGAGAGTCAAGAAAAAGTAGGGTCTCTATTATTTATGTATTATAAATGTACCAATAACATGTAAGTTAATTTTGGCAGCAAATTCAAGGCCAAAAGTAGCAGAAATTATCTAGAAATCACGTGTTGATGTGTCCGACTAATGAATTGTTATAATTTGTCTACCATCTCCTTGTTATTTGGGTCATCTATTCATTTAGCCTCTTACAATTGGTTGGGCACACAACCAATGTGGAATTTCTAGAGGATAAGATAATTACACCAAAAATAGAGCTTAAAGAAAGGGTAAGCTACAAATACACATTCTCGAGATTTGTTTAAAATATAAATTATCTTATGTAGTTCTGAAAATTATATTCTGCCTATTGAAGTTTCTAATTTTATAACAAATGACCTATTTTATTAATAAATTTTCAAGTCAATTAATAATTTTTAATGATGTTAGAAATATATTTTAATTAATAATTTAGGTAATTTTATTATATAGGAGAGCAGTTAGGAATTTCACATTTTCAGTTAATTTTGTTAAAAAAATATTCAAATAAGAAGTATTTCTAATTTTTCAAATTATAGGGACAATTTATATTTTAAGTAAACGTCATACGGATATTTGTAATTTACCACCAAAAGAACAACTGAAAAGGGTATGCTTTTCATTTCTTGGGATTGATTAGAATTTCTTTACATTCCCCTTATATTTTAGTTTTCATGACACTTGCTGTAAGGACAATGCATCAGCCAAAGCCTAGAGATGGAAAAGAAATAAGTACTTTTTTGGAAGAGGTATTGGTAGAATTAGATTCTCTAGTTATTTTTATTCACCTACTGTTTTTGTTTAATTTTCAACTTTGATGAAATTGTGGGGTTTTGCTTGAAAATCTCGAGTTGCAAGTGTGTGCACATTGCTTGTTTTGATGAAATTGTAGTCTTCAACTTTTTGGTTATTTTTCAATGGTGCTTCTGAATGCTACCTCGTACAATCATTTCCAGATTTGCCAGTTGATTAATTTTATGGTTGAGAAGTTCTATAATTCATGTTTCTCTTCTCTATTTAACCCAAAAGGTAGATGTTGTAGGTTGTAAACCAACCATTTTAAATATCCTTGGTGTTGTTCATCCATCAACAAGCACAATTCAACTAAAAAATGCCATCATCTGTGGCTTGCTGGTCTTGTTAAACATGGAAGCGAGGCTTCTTTTATAGACTGTTGGAAAAACGATTTTTAGAGGCGTTTTAAAAACACCGCTATATGTCTGAAAAACGCCGCCAATTCTTTTTGTGAGGCTTATCACCAAACGTCGACGACACGGCCGTCGCTATAAGTTTATGGCGCTTTAAAAACATCGTGAAATTAGAATAGGTGGCGGTATAAACGCCACTAAATGTGGCAGCAACGGTAACATGATGTCATATTCAGCGACACTTCAAAAACGTCGTAATAACTTTTTTATTATTTTAAAAATATAACTATAGTGGCGTTGGAAAAATGCCGCAATAGATTCAATTTAACAAAAATAAAAATAAACTTAACTACTAATTCTGTGAGATTTAACTTTTAAAAAATACCTATAAAATAGCAATAATGAATAAAACTTTGTATAGACATATATTTCTATGAGATTACTATTCCCTCACATCTATAATAGTACCCAATACAACATCCTTTAAAAAAATCCAACATCTCATGCACAGTTTCACATCATCCAACAACAATCTAATATAGAAGGCAATTAGAATTGTCTTAAAACAAAAATTGACTCTCTCTCCTGTAGAATGTAAGTTCCAGAATACAGCAACAGAAAAATACAAAATCCTTGGAAAGAACCCCACTAATTCAACAAAATAGAAAGTCAAAGCATCTGTTCTAGAATGAGAATAAACTCACTCAAGTTCTAGATATCCATTGCATAAGTCTTCCAAAGTTAATTCTAATTTCCCAATTGTCTAGCCATTGGCTTTCTAAAAAAATTGTGCAAAACATAAACACTAATGTTTTGATATCTATGAACCATACCCAATATAATTTTCAGAAGACCAATTCCAACAATAACTGATGTATCAGGGATATTAGCCAACACAAATACTGCAAAGAATATAAATTAGAGGAGCATCCAGATTCACTAGTGCTTGAACAGGTCCAGGCTTCGGTTTCTCTGTTTTCGCAGAAATTCCTGAGACAATAGATTCATGTTTGGCTAGTAGTCCCTGCGAGTCATCATTCAGTGCAAGTCCTTGACATAGCAGTGATTCATCCCTACAAGAGTTATATGAATATTGAATATACATAGTCACAACAGCATTGGTTGCATTTAAAGAGTAAGTTGTAGCATCTACTACATCCAAGTCCCAAGGCATTTTCTTATTGTACATAACTCTTGTTCATTTATAAATCAAAAACCACAGACAAGTAAATACATACATGCACACCCACCCACACACACACACACACACACACACAGAAAAGATATGCTAAAAGGGTATCAATTGGAGACCTACAAGACAACACGATATTATCTTGGCAGGCAAAATGCTAAAAGGGTATCAATTGGAGACCTACCTGAAAAGGATTGAGTACAAGGTCTCACCAGTCGCCCTTAGCCAAACAATATACCTTAATTCTGTTTATCTTTCCACTTTGGAACCTCTTCTTATAAAAGCCAAACACTTTGGATGTGTTTCTCTTTTTGAAATGATTTTAGTGTGTTTTTTTTTCCTCAAGAAAAATAAGTCTAACATATGTTTCAATTATTCTTAAAAGTCAAGATTTTTGTGAAATATTTTTCTTAGCATTCCATTTTTTAAAAGAAGTTCCCAGGAATATTTGATTCCAAATTAACCCAACCAATTTGGCAAGCCTCATTCACTGTCCACTCTGTTCTTGTTGGTCATCCTTCATTCTTAAGTAACTACAAAATTTAGTACAAAGTATAATTTTTTTTCCCCTTTATGTTATTATTATTATTTTATTTAGAACAAATTTTCAGCCAAACAAATGAATCCATGATATTAATGGGTATTAATAAATCTGGAATTGACCTTATGTTAACCATCAATTCCAAGTAAGGAAGTACATGTTGCCTATTGTCTTCTATAAGTCATTGCCTCACACCAGGTCATTTCAACAAAAAAATTAAACACCACAACAACCCATCATTCATACACAAGTATAGATCAAATCTCAAAAACCAAAGAAATCTTGAGAAGTTGATAAAAACTAAGAAATGAAACTACAATTGACTTACAAATCTTGAGAAATTGATAGGAAAGATGGAATGAACCTTTTCAGAGAGAATGAAAAATGGGTTCATATATCTATCTATCTATCTATGCCAAGTTTCTGCTGCCAATGCCAGCCAAAAACAACTAGACTGACTTAGGCCTTGTTTGGGATACTCTAAAAAAGTCAAAAAATCAAAGAGTCACTATCCTATTTAAGTCACATCACCTCTCTACCACATCAACCCAACTCATATTTCACAAAAAGTCAAAAAGTACACTTATTTAGATCATCCCAAACCATTCCTAAAAACTGGGTTCATATAGGGTGAACTTTCTTGATTTAGACCTCATAGCAACTCAAATATGTGTCAAAGCTAAATTTGGCATACCACCAATTGAACAAAAAAAAAAAAACCACCACAATGCTGTGCCAAATTTTATTGTCCCACCAAGTATAGCACATGACCCAAAAGACAATTCTATAGTATATACTGTAACCATGAAATTGATTATATATAGTAAAACACAGAGTTTGATGAAGGACCAACCAATTGTTAATTCCCGATGGTATGCCGATGGACTCCTATCTTATAAACACATAAATCTTTCTTTTACCTCTTAGAACCCAAATCCTAGAAACTAACCCATAACAATACTCAGCATTAACCCAAGTTTCCTACAGTCATCCTGCATCAATAGGCCTCTAATCAAGTGCACCTCAAATATAATGGAAGCAAAGTGAACCCTAGTGACAAAATTTACTAATCTACCGAACAAGATTACAAAAAACTTAACTAAAGGCAAATTGGTTCCAAACCTATCACCATTCTACAGTGTAAATTCTTAAGCATACATAGTTAGGATAAAACATTAAATTTTTTATATGCTAGGATAGAACAACAATTGAAAAGTTCACCTATGCAACATCAATACAATTTTTTCCTGTCCCAAAATATCTCTCGCATAAGAATTAAAATATAAAAGGGGACAATAAAATTAAAGAGAGTGGAACCAGTTCAATGAGTTATATTTGAGGGATCAAATAGAAAACAAAGGGAAAATTCCAATATCCTATGTGAATAAAAAACATCTTAAACAGAAATTAGCACTAAAACCATCCATTATGTCAAGTTCTGTTGTTTACCAAGCACTCAACTTTTTAACTTAAAACAAAACGAAAATACTGACTGCGAGACTTCTAAAAGATTATAGCAAGAATGTCCTTTTTAAGTAACTACTTAAAAAAAAATAAGAATTATATTTAATCTTGTAACCAAGAGTATAATTCTTATCTTCTTTTTTAGTATATGTATATAGATAAATAAAAGAAGAAAAAGGATGAGGAAAAAAAGAAGATAGGAATTATACTAGTTGTTACAAAACTAGATAGATATATCAGTGCATACCTATTATAGAAGCACCATGCATATTCGCATAAGGTTTGTCTCCTGTGAGCAATTCCCACATGACAATCCCAAATGAGTAAACATCAATCTACAATGCATAAAAAAAGAAATAATTGTAACGCTCTCAAAATAATACATAACACCCATCATTCATGACATGCATTTATATAAGAGAAATAACATCTTTCTATTAATCAGAGTAGTTCTTTACAAAAGTATTACATGTTGACATCAAAAGTAAATGCCCTATGGGCTTACAACTTTCCAAGCCAACACTTGGATACAAGAAGTGAGTGCTAACTCAAATACATATTAAGCCCTTGGCTTGAATTTACATGTAATACATCAAAAATAAAGCAAAACAACCAAAAAGTCTGTCTGCCTCTAGCCTCCCAAGCTATGTCCTTGGAGGTGGCATACCATCTGTACCTGAAAATGATGTCCCATATAGGGTGAGCCACAGCCCAGTAGAAATATACTAAACTAGCTATAAACAATGACTAAAAGTTTAGCAGTTGATAGATGGTCAACACTTATACATCCATTCATATCACATTTCAATTCCACGACAATCATGTCCATGTTACATTTCATTTTCCTTTACTTAACAATTCATTTCATATACGTGGCTTAGGACCTGGCCAGATAATTCGACAGAGATTACATCTCTTATTAACAATACTTTCAATTCAAGTGAGATATCAACTCATAATAATCTTTTCATACTTCATAATAGATACACATTTTAGTGCTGTATCAACCTCAAACCAAATACTTCCATACTTCACAAATGATACACATTTTAGTGCTGTATCAAAACATGTAAAAACACTTCCCTACTTCACAAATGATACACATTTTAGTGCTGTATCAATGTCAACAAAATCCGGTTTAGAGGTCCATCCCCCATCTTCCCCTAAACCGTGGAGTAATCCCCTATCTCCTCCTACACAACACAATGTATACAAACACAGATCATATACATAATTAATCAATACATAAGGTTAATGTATTATTCCAACCGCCATATTCGATGACACATTCAAATGATTAGTTTTAGTTCACCTAATCCTCATGCATTGTATACAACAATCAAGACTATCCTCCACCGATAGCCCAAAGCAGTTATTTTTAAACAGAAAATAAATGTGTCAAAGGATATACTATCCACATTTCAACTAGTTGAGCAATAAATTGATTTCAACTACACCATTTAATTTCATACCTTCCCAATTTGAATATTCTCAATTCAATTTCTCATTTCTCAAAATTAATTTTACAAATTAATTTATCAAACTAATTAGGGCATTTTCCCATAATTCACAATACCAACCCTAAGGTTCTATTTCCATCAATCTCATAACATAACTTCCATTTTCAATGCTACATATACACATGGGTTCAATTAGTCAAAACCCCCCCTTTTATAAAAATTACATAAAGACCCCAAACTTTCTCAAAATTACCAAACAACCCCCAACATATCAAAATGTCAAAATTTAAAGACAAAGCTCATAAGAAGGAGTAGGATATCCCTACCTCGAAGTTAGAGCTCAAATGGAGAAGAAGACCAAAAACCAAAGTGCTCCAAATCCACAATTTTTCAGATTAGAACGAAGCCCTCAACACCCTCTATCTTTTATACAAAGAACTTAGGGTAGAAACTCACTATAAGTAGATCAATCCCTAGAGAGAAGACAAGTATAGAGAGAGAGAGAGAGAGAGAGAGAGAGTCGGATCTAGGGTTTTCCAAAGAAAGAAGATGAAAAAGTGATGTTCAATCCTGCTGCTGCCTACTGATATAACACATGCTCGCTCGAGCGAAGGATTGGTCGCTCGAGCGACCAGACACAAAGAACTCTCGCTCGAGCGTAGAAAGCCTCGCTCGAGCCAACAATTCGAAGCTTCAGGTTTGCAACCCAGAAGCACGCTCGAGCGCAAGAATGCTCGCTCGAGCGAAGGAACCCAAAACATACACCTCGCTCGAGCTAAGAAACACAGCTCTCAGGTCAAAATGAGACGCAGACACACGCTCGAGCGCAAGACTTCTAGCTCGAGCCACCAGACACAAAACTCAACTCTCACTCGAGCGAAGGAACCCTGGCTCGAGCGAAGAATCTAAAACACAGAGCTCGCTCGAGCGACAAACTGCTCGCTCGAGTGAAGGACCAAAATTCTGGGCAGCAACCATTTGCTCCCAAACACAACCAACCTGTAACAAACCTGCCCATCACATCCTATAACTCAAATAACAAGTATTGAAGGACGGAAACAAGACATAAACAACTACTAACATCTACAGAACCAAGTCCGGATCACTATACAACAAGGGGTGAAACCCGGGATCGCTATAACCTCCCCCCTTTAAAGAATTTCGTCCCCGAAATTAAGCACAAGTTTTCAAAAACAGGTTTTTCTCAATTTCCAACAATATGACATTTCAATAATCAACAACTTGACCTATTACCGGTCATTCCATCTCTTATCAAGAGGCATTTCACAATATGTAAAACAACATATATTTCAACCTGCATTATCATTATGCATTTTCTTTCCAATCCAACAATTTCCAACATACGTGATCCACAATTTCATATCATAATTAAAGTTCATGACATATTTCCAGTTCTACAACACATTCAACATATGCAATGTTACATTAAACTTCCATTAAACAGAAACATATGCAATGTTTTACAACCTAAGATATATTCAATACTTTTAAGGTTCAATAATACAACAAGATATACAACATATGCTCAAACATCTACAAATAGATCCGGATATTTCTCTCGGACCTCCAACTCACGTTCCCAAGTGGCTTCTTCCACTCCGTGATGTTTCCACAAAACTTTTACCAAGGGAATGGTCTTGCCTCGCAAGATTTGATCCCGCCTATCCAAGACCCGAACCGACCTCTCCTCATACGAGGCATCCTCATCTACCTCTAAGTCGGTCCAATCCAACACATGCGATGGATACGGCTCATACTTCCGAAGCATACTCACATGAAACATGTCATGAACTCCGGACAACTGCGGCGGCAAAACTAAACGATAGGCAACCTCGCCAATCCTCTCAAGGATCTGAAAAGGGCCAATAAACCGAGGGAATAACTTCCCTCTCTTACCAAATCTCATCAATGCCCGCCTAGGTGATATCTTCAGAAAGACATGATCACCCACCTCAAATACCAAAGGTCTTCTCCTACAGTCAGCATAACATTTCTGACGACTCTGGGCTGTAACAAGCCTCCTACGGATAAGCTCAACTTTCTCCGTCGTTTCCCTCACTAACTTCGGGCCCAACAAAGGTGCATCACCCACCTCGACCCAACAAACCGGAGACCTACACGGTCGGCCATACAAGGCCTCAACCGGTGTCATACCAATACTAAACTGAAAACTGTTGTTGTAGGCAAACTCCACCAAGGGCAAGTGCCTCTCCCACGTCCCACTAAAGTCAAGGATATAACCTCGAAGCATATCCTCAAAGATTTGAATAGTACGCTCGGACTGCCCATCAGTCTGAGGATAATAAGCCGTGCTAAAGGTCAATCTAGTGCCCAAGGCACTCTGCAAACTCTGCCACAATCTAGCAGTAAAGCGTGGATCTCTATCTGAGATGATCGACACTGGGACCCCGTGCAATCTCACTATGCCCCGAATATACAAGTCGGCAAGATGATCTACTGAATCTCTCACGCGCATAGGGATAAAATGCGCCGACTTAGTCAACCAGTCTACAACCACCCAAATAGCATCACTACCCCGCTGAGTCCTCGGAAGACCTACAACGAAGTCCATAGTGACATGCTCCCACTTCCACTCGGCAATAGGCAAGAGTTGTAACAAACCCGCTAGCCTCTAATGTTCGGCCTTCACTTGCTGACAAGTAAGGCACTTAGACACGAAAACAGCCACATCTCTCTTCATACCCCTCCACGAAAATTGGCGACCCAAATCTCGATACATCTTAGTGCCTCCCGGGTGCACCGCAAGGCGTGAATGGTGAAACTCTCGGAGTACCTTCTCTCGGCAAGACTCCGGCACAAACAAACGGTCTCAGTATCTCACACTCATGTTGGGATACACCGTCAAACCCTTCTCAACCTTCCCACTAGAGATCTTCTCTCTGAGGGATTCTACCTCAAGGTCACCTCTCTGTGCCTCTAACACTCTAGTCACAAGTGTAGGCTGCGCAACAACAGAAAACAAGGCCGCAACCTCAACAGATTCGCCCAGAAGCAAATCAAACTCCCCAAGTGCCCCCAACACCTCCCACTCCCGGATGGCTATACAAGCTACATCACTAATGGATTTCCTGCTAAGGGCATCGGCCACAACATTGGCCTTTCCCGGATGATAATGTAACTCGAAGTCGTAATCCTCAATAAACTCCATCCACCTCCTCTGCCTCAAGTTCAAGTCTTTCTGTGTAAACAGATATTTCGGACTCTTATGATTTGAGAACACCTCAAATCTCTCCCCATAAAGGTAATGCCTCTAGATTTTCAAGGCAAAGATCACAGCTGCTAGTTCTAAGTCATGTGTAGGGTAATTCTTCTCGTGTATTTTCAGCTGACGTGAGCCATAGGCCACCACTTTCCCCTCTTCCATCAACACACAACCCAAACCCTCTCGTGAGCCATCACAATAAATTGCATAACCCAACTCTCTTTCCGGAATAATCAAGACCGGAGCGGTGGTCAATCTAACTTTCAGCTCTTGGAACGACTTTTTACAAGTCTCACTCCACACAAATTTGACTCCCTTCCGTGTCAATCTAGTCAACAGCGAAGCTAGCCTGGAGAAATCCTTCACAAATCGGCGGTAATACCCAGCTAATCCCAAAAAACTGCAGATCTCAAACACACTCTTAGGTTGTGCTCAATCTTGCACTACCTCAATCTTGGATGTATCAACAGACACCCCTTTCCCGAAAACCACATGGCCTAAGAACTTGACTTCTCCTAACCAGAACTCACACTTCCCAAACTTGGCATACAGCCTATGGGCTCTAAGTAACTCAAGCACCACTCTAGTGTTTCTCGTGCTCCTCCTCAGAAGGTGAATAAATCAGAATGTC